GCCACCATGCCCAGCTAATTTTTTGTATTTTTAGTAGAGATGGGGTTTCACCATGTTGACCAGGATGGTCTCGATCTCTTGACCTCGTGATCCACCCGCCTCAGCCTCCCACAGTGCTGGGATTACAGGCTTGAGCCACCGTGCCCGGCCTCGATTTTTTTTTTAAGAAGAAGATGCAGACCTGTCCATGGGTCTGATTTGGTTTTTTGGTTATAAACACTCCAAGAGCTGAGCACCTGCCAGGTTCTCCTGTTGCCTTGCCATGTGCCCATGTCCCTCCCTGTGGCATGAGAGGACCACACTGAGAACCCTGGGATGGTCCAACAGATGGTCAGACTTCCAGAGGGAACAAACCTTCCTGTTTCCAGTCTGTGATGTCAAACCCAGCATCTTCACCCCCATCCACCCGCAGGCAGCTCCCATGTGTCCCACCCTGCTCCTGCAGGAAGAGCACTGGGCGCCGCAGCTTCTGGGATGCCAACCACTCCAACGGTTGTCCTCGTCTGAAATGATTCCTGTACAGAGAGTTGGAAGCTGGATCTTTGGATATCTAGCATTTGCTTGAAAGAGAATCACCTGTTATTTATTGCCACCAGTTAAGGATCATGAAAACACGTCTGCTAACAATGGACTTTGTGTAATTGTTCTAATGCTAATAAGCAACTGCTGGGACACTTCCCGAAGCAAATTCCTTTGTGATTTCTGTGGTGGTATCACACGTGGCCTCACCAAGATGCTGGACTGGAGAGAACACTCACTGTGACTCCCAGGCTTTAGGAAGTTCCCCTGACTTAGAAGCAGTTCTGGGCAAAAGCACACTTTTGGAGGAGGATTTGCTTTCACAAGCGAGGCCCCAGATGTGCTCTCTTAAAATCCTGTGTAAAGAGTCCATAGGTTCTCCCAATGCTTAGCCCTGGGCTCGATTTCCTACAAAGGAAAAGATGGCAGGTAGAGCTTAAGAATGACACCCTCCCTCAGGTCGGAGTGTGCTGTGCCATCAATTGACAGTGGCAAGCCGAGGGGAGTAGAGACACAGGTGATTAAACAGTGTTGCCAGACAGTGTGGGGACAGCAGCATCTTTCAGTTGGAAGGTCTGCATATACCACACAGACCACCTGTGCCCCAGTGGTCTTTCCGCCCTACCCTGCTCTGAGGCTTGACCACATGATCTGAGCCTTAGAGTCAGTTCCACGCACTAGGCACTTGCACCTGCCAACATCAACCTCTTCCGTTGACTTAATTTTGGAACATTCCCAAAGCCTTGCTTCTCCAAACAGCTCATTGTGAAATAAACGCCCCTCCCTGGGTGTCGCTTTACAGCAATGATGTATGACTGAAGGCTACCTCTCTCATAAATGTAGCATCCTCAGCTACATTCTTTTCAAAGTGTTGTTGGAAACCCATCACCATCCCTTGAGGGTGGATTTTTTTTTGTTTTTGGAGAAAGCCAAAGCCACTGGGCTCATTTCTGGTGCATGACATGGGTAATCAATGTCAGGTTTCAAATCATGTGTTTTTACACACATGTGTTTGTCTTTTCTTTGTGTTTCCTTTCTTGGTACAAATAGTTTGAACCATAACAGCCACAATTCACTGGTTGACTTAAATATTTTAGGCAGGTGTTAGAATAAGGAGGTGCAATGTATGGATTACTTTGAAGGACAACGTAATTTGGATGAATAACATTCAACATATTCATTTTAAAGTAATCTTACTGCTATATCCGTAGGCATGGTAAGCTGAGGATATGGTGAGTGTTTGCAAATATACAGAGACCATCCACACATAGACCCCTAGAATCCTAGAGCTGGGAAAAAGAGGTCTTGGGGGACACGTGGGCAGCTCTCCTCCAGCATTAGAACCTTCTCCTCTGTGAGTTCCACATTGCTCTGTAAGGGGCAGAGCATGGTACAGTGTGCAAGAAACAAGCTCTCCAAGTCACCTCCTCCCACACCTCCATCTCCTCGTCTGGAAAAGGAGGCGGGTCATCCAAAGGACCTTTAAAAGCATTTCCAGCTCAGGTATTTCGGCCAAGGCCGCTGGGGCTATGCTGCCACAGTAGTGATGGGCTCTCGGCTCCTCCCTCCTCTGATCCGTGGCTGCTGGCTTCTGCCTCTCCTCCTTTGCAACCTCATCTAGGTATTTTCTGACCGTTTTCTCTCATGGGCCCATAACTTCTCCGGAAGGCCATGTTAGCGCCACTTGGCCATTCTTTCCCACTAGTTTTTTACTTTTCATTCTGTTCTTTCTTCCTGTCTCCATGTTTTTTTATTGGTTTGTTTCCTTTTTTGTCTTTCTCCATTCCACTAGCTCAAATGCCTTTAGGGACGGAGACAGGGTAGAGAAAGAAATAAGAATGAATAAGCCAACTCTGTTCGTCCTCCCTGGCCCAGCGGTTCTGACTGCTGTCCGGCTTCCACTGTCCAGGGCTCACTCACCTGCAGCAGTCCTTGACTCTGCCCCACTTCCTGCCCAGTCTCCACTTGTTCTATTTCTCAAGGTCCAGCCCTCTCAGCTCGGTGCTTGAGGTTGGGAATGAGAGTCTCCTCCCTTCTGATTGTTTCCTTCTGTGACTCGCCCTGATGTCCTCCTGAAGGGCCTCCTGAATCTTCATCAAGCACAGTGCTCTTCTCAATAGGTGTCCCTCCTCATTCAGCCCGAAGGTGAGGTGACCTAGTGCCAATTGGATGTACCTCTTGAGAACCACAAGCTGCTTCTCCGGCCATCCTGCAGTCTGCATGGACTCACTGTGACATCCATTAGCAATTTAGATAATGCCACAGCTCTTTATAGAAGACCCACTTAGCACTGACAGTACAGACTCATGACCAAAGCCAGGTCAGAGCCTCGTGTTTAAGTGAGGAAGGTCCAGCCAGCATGAAAGATGAGGGACAGTGACCTACATCAAAAGCATTTCTGGGGTGAGGTTTTGTTTTTGGACCTTTTAAGTGGCTTGTGTCTGAGTAGGGAAAGATGATGACATATTTCTCAAAAGAAGATGTGGTTTAGAGGAAGGGGAAAGGCAGTGCAGCTCTGGAAAAGAAATGCTTCCATCATGGCCTTCCTCCAGCACAGTCACACACCTCGAGATCTTTCTAGAAGTTAAACTTGTTTCCTCCTCAGGAACTGAAAGTATTTCTGTCCACGTGTGAGAGAGTTTGAGGGACTTTCTTTCATTAACCATTGTGGTCTAAGCCTTAATATTTAATTTTCTGTCACCTTCTAGCTATATCTTTGATCAGTTGGGGATTTTTAAAAAAAACAAAAGAGCTCCTCTCATTTTATCCTCAAGAAAATATGAAATATCAGTTGCTTTATAGAGCAAATATTTCCATTTTATAGATATCTATGAATTAGATGATTTCTCTACTGTATATACCTATTAGCAATTTCATTAACATAAAGATTTTATACTTTGAATACATTTGTGGATAAATTTACTTTTTATTCTATTCACAT